AACACTGATGAAAAAAATATAGAGCATAGTTTCGATCGATTACTTTAAACTGTTCAATTAATAATACGTTGAATTCTATCTACGTTAGACCCATCAGCAGAGGTCGCTGTCATTTTCCTTTCACGCTAATTAGCCTACGAACAACAAGGATTTCTGGACAAAATTATAGGACACTGCACTTGTTCTAGCGCTAATAAATAGGACGATATTTTTTGCCATTTTTCCTCAACTAATCATATGCTTCAATCACCCTATATAAGGTGGCAGTTTTTAAGCCGAAGCAAACATTTTTTATACCTTTAAATTATATAAGCGAAACAAATATGTGCTACTTATCGATTTGCTAAAACCATAATCTTATCACTATTCAGCTTTTGGTTTATGGGCAAAATATAGTACCAATTATTTTTCGCCATCCCTTCATTGAAGCACAATGGGTATCGTCAAAAGAGTTCGATTTTGGAGAGATCGAAACAGATGATGGTAGTCAATGATGATGGTGCAATATCGGCGCTATATAGGAAAAGCACTAAATGAAACAAATATTGAAAGAAGCACCGATGGAAAGAAATCTTTCATTGAAGTTCTCTAAATTTTTGCTGGATAGCTAAACATTGTATGATCTGGCATTGTAGCACTGGAAGACAACACCCCTTATATTTGCTAGTTGCGAAATGGCTTATTGCAATCTTGTTCACTGTTGAAAATAGACGTTTAAATCAATTGCTTTGTCCGACGACAGCGGCTCCTAAGGCACAGTTTCTGCTCAATCCTACCCAACACCCATTAGCTTTTTTGACGTTAGTCCGGTCGTTACCGCACACTGTGGGGTACATGTTGTTTTTTTTTCCATTTTCTCCTTGTCGTTCCACCGCCTAAGGTCTACCATTTTAGGAATGGTTCTCTTTTCGTTAAACTTCCGTAGAGTTTCGTTGATCGAAACACAAACAAACTATTCTTCATCGTAAGTTCATATTGAATTTTCTTCAGATGCTTTAAAATAATAGTATATAAATAGCTAAACTGTTTAGCGGTGTTATGGCTACTTAAGCGTCGATATTGCTCAACTTTTGCAACAATGTCATCGTATGTTTACGTAATTGGTGGACCGCTATGAGGGCCTCTTTCACATCTAAAGGCTCAGAACGAAAGCAACAGAGCTATCTCTGGGCCGTTTTTTCCAAAAACGTACCTTCGTTACAAATAGCACAGTTTTTTTTTTTTTTTTTTTTTATGGGCCTGGGCAACGTGTGCGTCTTTATCGCAAGATGTGGCCATTTTTTGCCAAAATTTTGTTCATATCCAAGGCATTCTATCGTAAGTCTAATTGAAGCTTTAGCACATCTGCTACCATTAGGTCTTAGCTTTTAAACGACACCAAAAGCTTGTCGCGTTGTCGCCCTTGACTAGTGATCATCCTCTAGTAAACTCTTGCTGTGCACTCTACCTCAATCCATAGTTTGTACTTGGTCTCTTCGTTCTTCTTTGTCCTGCTCATAAACAAGCCGTCTGCTGTTGATGCAAACGGCAAATGCTTGCTCCGCACACTATCGGCGCCCCGCCGGATTTCTTTCGCCCCCGTTGCGCTATTGTATACGCTGTACGTTTTTTGGCTCGTTATTTTCGAATAAACCAATATTTCTATGACCATGTTATCATTAACGTATTGCGATGGCTGCCCTCCCTTGGTCTGCCTTCATTTCGACCACTGTTCCCGGGGATGCGTCTGCCCATTTGCCAGCGCCATTTCAGACGTCTCTCTCTCCTCTTCTCTTCTCTTCTCTTCACTTTTTTTCTCTCTTCAATCGTTCGTCTCCATTCCCGTCCAGCCCTTTCACTAGAATAGTGGACGCGGCATATCCTCGAAAAGGCCTCGTTGACCGACGACAAGCGGAGGCGACGACCAGTGATGTTATTCCAGTAGACCGCAAGCCTGCTTAACCAATCTAGTGTAGAACCTCGTTTAGCCTTCCCCGAGTCTTTCTGTGGATCACCCACTCACTCAGCCCCTCCATCTGTATGTCTACCCTGTCTCGTAAGTTGAATCCACTTGGGGTCGAAAATCAGGGGACAGCGTAAGGGTCACGTTGTGGCAAAGCCGCACGGTCTATTTATGACGCATCATCTACTGCAAATACAGTGCCGTCGCCATTAGCGATCGCTGCGTCCTATCCGAATTCTACTCCGTTCAACAGTATACTGTGTTACTGTATGTAGAACAATGGATACATAACATCACGTTTCAGTTTGAGGAGTGACATTTGCGTACCACCAACATATTTACTGTATCTCTCTGGCGTTCTCTAAAATGAACCGCGCGATTATTAAACGACGAATAGTGCGGCATTGACTGTAGAGTGCCGCAAAACTGTCTGGAAGGGTTACAAGTCAAACTGACAGGACAAACATGAAGTTGACCTATGCAGAGAATGTCTCGAGAGCCGTCAACTTGAAACTGGGCCCTAGCATTCCTCCACCCTTTCCAATGATTTAGTTGGCGAACAAAGCCAATGGGAGCATACAAACGAAAGGGTGTGAGGTTGAATGGGTTCAGGCTAATAATAGAAGTATGATTTCCCCCGAGATCTTCATTAGAGATGCAACTAATCACTGTGGTACCACAAGAGAGGTATGGCAACTGTAGTGCTGGCAGCTGCGACCAGCGGCTAAACCGTTCTTGAACCGAAGTAAACTACGACCGGATAGAGATGATAAAAGGCAAAATGGGTGACAAAATTAAGGCTAAGTCATAACCCCACAACACCGAAGCACAACACGCCTACTCGACAAGTGCATATGTGGAGTTAATACCAAAAGAATATAATCACTATTATAGAATACACACATATCATCGTTGAGAACATTTATTCATCTGCACATCGATTGGCAAACGTACAATTTTTTCATAAATACAATATTTCCACTCTTTTTTTCTGCTTCTTTTTTTTTTGTTTCACAAATTCGACTGGATTTCCGTATCGTCGATGATTTTGTGATGTTGTTAGATGTCTCAAACGAAGAAACTACCAACTACAGAAACGCCATAGGCCATGACTCAGCTGCAGAGGCAGCTGCAGACATCATCGAAACGAACGACAGCAACGGCCGTGGCTTCGGTGACGCTGTCACGACGGCAGTACCAATTTCGAAACGTAGTTGCTTAAATAAGGTTTTTATGAAAACACTACGTTCATCGTGAAGTCATGCTTGTGTATCACTATAACTGATTTAACGGCTATCGATGACTCCAGAATGTCCAACTCCCACCCTGTACATACTTATATATCAGTGTGAGTGAGTGAGAGCTCGTTTCGTGTTCTGCTCTACTGGCGCCAAAAACACCAATCCACAATACCTATATATGTATATATATACGGACGACTATGTTGTTCATTTTCTGAGACCAGCAGTATCGACGGCGTCATCAGTAACCCTTCCCACAACAGAGACCACAACAACAGGCAAAATGATCACTTTGGCATTTGTGACTACACGATGTTGTGACTGACTCCTGTTGCGTTGACGCACTCGCTCCGAATGCTCGCCATGATATTTTCTCCCTCCTTCCACCCTTTTCCCGCTACCGGTTCCCTGCATCGAGCGCATTTCACCAAAATTGTCATCATCTTTATCGGCCGAAGCATGAGTAAAACGTGCTTCGTGCCTGATTTGTCATCTGAAGTGGCTGTGCGACGACAAAGACAAAGAGGCGACAGCGGCCACAGCGCCAGTAGTCGCAACAGCCAACAAGAGATGCCTCTGCCCGTCAAGCAGCACGACAAAGCGTGTGCATGCTCTTTCAAATTTTTCCACCGCGGGACTGCCCACAGCCCCTCGTCATCGGTATAACAACGAGTGACTCCAAAGATGGGTATCTGTCCATACATAGACATCTGCATGCATGAGTTGGTGTGAATTTGAGCCCACATACAAAACGACGATCAAAATGTCAGCCAACGTTATCAGGCAGATTCCACAGAGCAACGGATGACACCGAAGAAAACGCGGCCTGTATCAGCCGAGTAGGGATCGAGGGTGAATTTGAAGGTCATTTCCCAGCGAAATACATAAAGGGCCATTTTTGAGCAAAAGCAAAATGAATAATAGTAACAATAGTCGTCATTTGGAAGGAAGCTAAATCTAACTGAGAATGAATATAATACTGAAACAACTCATATTAACACTGTTTGTTTGTTTGTTAATTAGCTATATTTTTGACCATTTACGATGTACCGGGATGTTTCTAGTCGTATGTTTAGAGATACATGTGTGTTACTGCATTTGACCTTCGTCTATGAAATACGCACGGGATCCATAGGGTAACACAACCAACTGTTAGTCTTGACTTTAGGTCGAGAAAATTGCGCTAGCCAAAATTGATCAGTAGTACGATAGGGAGAGACTTCGAGAGAGACTCAATAGCGGTTATTGTGCTTGCTGATCACAGTATTGCTTCATAGCTAACGTGTTATATCTAAGGTATATCTGCTACCATCTGATGGGATCAGAGGGATAATTCTAGGTGCGGTATTTTTCCATGCCTTTTCTCACGAGCTAAGTATGTAGACACGCCGCAGTTGTATGCATACGGGAGAAAGTACTCGATTTGCGGATACCAGAAAATTCTACTACTACTCCAACTCCAGCGCGTAACTGGAGAAGTTATTACTACAGCATTAGCTTTATGACCATCAAGATTCTTTTCCCGAAACTCTATTTTTATTGTAACCCTCCGTAATCAGCGTAAGAAACGCGCTCTAGTTGATTTCCCTAGGCGAGTGCTTAAGTAAGCATATCTGATAACTCCATAAGGCAATGGGTCCTACCACAAAATCGTCTATCCTTATTTTTTTCTCCCTTTTGTTAGAGTTTTCCTCTAACTACGACCGCTTAACGCCACATTTATGCAGTGTGAACTGCATAAATGTGGCGTTAGCCTCGCGGTTACCGACCTTGTTTGCTGACCCGCGTTCTACAACACCAGTGTCTCCCGGACTTACCTTTAATCTAGTAGTTTTCTAAAGGTCGCCGCCGTCGTCCTCTCCGGCTCGTTTGTCCGAATAAACGTTTGAGAATTTTTGTTTTTAGTTGCTGCTGTTAACGGTACACACGTCTCTAGGGTTTGTGCTGATGACACATCGATTATACTCCAAGACCGATTCCACTTTGCTTTATTCCTAGTCTGTTATCCAATAGGTGTTAATCCGACAATTGGTACAATAAGATTCTGCTGTTGAAACTCCTGGATTACGATCACAGTTTGTTGTACTAGTTGGACAAAGATAAAATAAACGTTTGTTCCGTGCCCTTTGCTGGATTACTACCGTTTTGTGTTAAAATATTTAAAGCTTCTCATTGTCGACGACACCTGACTGTTGCAAGTGCACTTTTCGGCGTCCTCGTTCCCAGTAATCTTGCTTCTGATCATTTCGTATTAGCCGATTTCCGGTACGACTACTGCTTATAAATGTTCAAGCATGACGGCCTATTAGAGAGAACTAAGCGCAAACTAACGATGCACATTGGGCCAACTGGAATGAGAGCAGTCTAAGCGGCAGTAACAGCAGCCGCAGCGGCGGGCGGAGCTGCCGCAACATAACACATTTACACGTGAATTCACTCCACACGCGTCCGGTAGCTGCGTCCCATCCGTCAGCTAAATGCCGACTGAAGATCAAATGTTTTCAACGACCTGCCCTCTCCACTCTGGATGCCTCTGGCTCCCTCCCCAGTTCGCCCGCGCTGGGCTGCGCTCAGGTCCGTGCTGGGGCCGTTGGGCGGCAGAAGCGGGTTATCACTGCGCTGGGAAGGTCGAACCCGCTTGCTGCTGCCCACAGGAAGCGGTGAGTGGTCGTACTTTTAGGAGAGGGTCTCAAAGAAGCAAACGCCAGTTACACAGACATGCACAAGTATCTCTCTCTCTCTCTATATATATATATTGGAAACAGCCAGTTGAAAGAGGGATGGATGACAGAGCGGCATCGTCTGCTAGCTGATGGCGGCGGTTTGGCGAACGGTTCTGGCTAAGCAATATGAGTTAAGGCCATTTGATTTGTCTTTTATTGTACACACATGTTACACAAATGATGCATACGACATCGTGACTAAAGTACATTAGGAAGGAAATACTTTATAAGGTGTATGTCCAAAAGGAATATTGACGGGGTGTAATACTTATTCTTCTCGTTTCTGTAGGGTGAAACAAACGAATCCAGATGACAATATATTACTTGTTTAACTTGAGCCTGAAGCGGTTCATATTCACGAACATGGTGATGGTTTGTCGTTTCCGACATAGAACCTGCAAGGAAAATCGTTGAATCCTTTGTTGTACTGATAGTGGCTGATGCAAACCTCTAAAATGGTCCAAAAGCTGCTGAAAAAATCTTGTTAAGATTACCTAATTAGGTAACTGTTTTTTAATCCCCTGCATAAAACGTCATACAGGCGTACATTTTAATCACATCGGACGCATTCCTATATTGTCGATTGTTTCCTTCTTCAGATACGTTCAATAAGCTATAGTCAAGCGCAAAATACAAATCCAAATCAAATGGTGACTAGATGTTTCTTCTAGAGCTTCATGGCTCTTTTTACGGCTTTGTATGCGAAGTACGTAGGTAGATTATGGCTTTGGGGTTAAAACTGAGGATTCCATCGATGTTCATCTACCAAGTGTACAATGGAGAGCTTCAAACTGGCATAGGGTTGGTGTTTTAAATTCCAGTTCAGTTTTGTCTTTTGGATATTGCGTTTGAAGAAAAACCGTTTAGGAAGCGTAAAGTAACAGCTTAACGACCAACACTATTGGACGCGCCATGTCCAGTTTACAGGTCCTCAAAGAAAAAACGCTACAACACTCGGTACTACAGGTACGCTTGACTTGTGCTGTCTCTCTTAGTCACTGTTAAATAGCGTTATAATAACTAAAAGTACAGTTAGAAATGTCTATAGGGATTGTAAGCGTGTTTCTATTGGAACACGCTAACTTCATTGAAAAGCTCATCGTCGTCACCAAGTCGTTTCATTTTATACGACGCTTGGGTGCCGTCTTGCTTACGTCGTACTCGAGATTATGCAAAAAGGCTAGTAGATCGAAGAAGGACATGAAATAAAACTGGTTAAATCTTTGATTCGTACGGATATGACTAGCCATTGTATTAAGTTAATATAAGTAGCCATTTCGAATCATTCGCTTAATAAGAAGAAGGCGTTTCACTTCAAGTCTAGCGATAAATTAATTTATTAATATTGGTCGTCATGTGTCGATGGTAGGAAGAGATGATGATCTGTTGAGATGAGGTCTGGAGAATCTCCTACTGAAGGTATTGCAAGGTGGCCTTTACAGCTTTTATTGCGTTGTCACGACTTGGCCTTATGTATCGGGCATTTCTGTTGGATCCCTTCATTCATTTGATACAGCTGGGCCATATACAGATGTTTGTACACTGCCTCGTCCTTCTAAAGCATTTCGCACTGTATACGACTGTTCCACTACCACCGAACGCTAGTCACCAAAATGGAGATTTAACTGTAAGGTTGGGCTTATTTTCCGAAAATGGCTATTTGTTTTTTGCTCAATAGAGAAACGATACTTGCCGTCACTGGCGGCAATTTCGCGTTAGAAACACGTTATTCTGTCTACATGTTGTTGGACGCCAGACAAGGCGTCGACGAATAACGAGAGCGACGTGTTTTTTACTCAATCTATGAAGTACCCAAGCACCTAAAAAGTAAATTCTATAGTACTATCATATTAACGATTATATATTTAACGATTGTCATATTTTCTCACCGGATTCAATATTTGTTTACCAACCGTCTTCTTCTTAAGTCCCTTTAACAGTTTTTTATCAATTCCAGATGGCTGACCAGGACAAGGTACATCCTTTAGTTACAACGTACCGTTGTTAAACGAGCTGTTTTTACAAAAAATAGAGCAGGTGTCAAAAATGCGCCTCTTCTTCATTTTCTTTTTCCCTAGAAGCAATTTCTTTGGAGCTTGAACTCGGCACAGTTCCGCTCATGGCACAACAATGAACTGTTGACTGTTATTAGCGGACTGATAAAAAAGGACAAGCCTTATCGAATGGAGAAGAGAAAGGCAATATTATACACAAACCGAAGGTACTTGAATTCAAACTTAATTAATAATTATACATTAATTCGTTATCTTCGTATCTATCTGTTCACATTTTTTTCTTAGTCTGTATATCAGTGGATATGACGAAAGGATTTCACAGTAGTTTCTTTGTCCGAGACCGTGTTTAAGGTGCTAATCGGACCTGTACCCACGCTAGTCGTCAGAAACTATTATCCTGACCTTATACGGGAGGGAACAAGAAAAATAATTTCCGGAATGTCATGTGGCGGTTTGCTTACGACGCGTAAGTTCTAAGGACGGCACATAATATCAGGCAAGTTGATTTTTACACTTTTTTTTTTTTAATCTCGAAAGGCTTTAGAATTTTTGATGATCAGAATCTCGAAGGCGTTACCTCCTAGGATATTTTGATCAAAATGTGAGAACATACCAATAATTGCGTAGCGAAGCATTTTGTTTTCGCACACTTCAACAGTTTATTAATATGTGAAAATATCTACATGTTCGTTTGTAATACAGATGTCAGTCGAATTCGAATCTGTCAAAAAGTTCTTCTCGGTTAAGATCTTTACTCGTGCGCGAAGCTTCTCTCGCAGATCTCACCGGCGATATCTTCATTTTTAAAGGTAATCGTTGGACAGAACAAATACAATGAGATGTGAGAAAAGATTTTTGCTTGCCTTAGGATTTCCGCACAAATTGCTTTCCCGGACAAGTTCAATAATTTCAGTCACAGACGTTGCTGCGGCCTTTTTATACAGGCATCGCGGAAGCAGAAAATTCAGCCACATGATAACAACAGCAACAACGGGACAGAAGCACGGATTGAGACGACCCGTCAGGCGTTACTGGCTATTTGGATTGGAAATCTTGTTTTAGTTCTACGGCAAAGTCCTCATTGTTGCGTGACAGCTCATTTTTCAGATTTACGTCGTTATCGATAACTGTTGTCTTCTGACAGCAGTCTAAGATGACCTGGTCTCCGCGGATTCAGCCTCGTTCACCTATGCGGATTCGCTTCGAGCGACCTGCTATATTTTATTCTTGTTTGATTACTTTAATTTTTCCTCGAATTACTGGTCCCTGTTCATTGATTGCTCTATGAAATGCACCCCATTCTCTGAATCGTTTCTCTTTTCGACCGTTTCAGCTATCGAGCATTATTCTGTAGTTTGCAATTCGCTCGCGTGTGCGGAAAACTAACAGCGGACTATCAGCCGGCAGTACTGGCTTAATGACGTTCCTAGTAGCAGCCATCATCTACCTATTAAACCTGTCTCTTACGGAGATCGCCTATCTTGAGGTCTTACACACTCAGATCAGAACTATCACACCCCCGAACATACCGAGCTTTGCGGAAAAGTTTTCCAGCATAAAAACGTCACCAAGGAATCAATCCGACTTCGAGGCGTGAGTTCTAGTCGTGGTGATGTTACGATAATGATTCCCGTTTTCGTAATGATATACCTTAACGTTGAAATCATTAGGCTTTCAATACAGAAGACAATTGAACCGGCTATTGCTGAGGGTAACGTCACCTGACGTGATACTGATCGCAGCAATAAAATTCGTTATGTACTCGATGGCACAAACTAACATAGTCAACCGTTTGTCCGCTTCTACGGCTGCCTGCGACTCCTGCTCAGCCAAAATACGCAGCTCACGGGGTACCATTTCCCCAATCAGTATCATTCGTCTGTGATATATTATTGTCACGGAACAAAAGAGTATTACTAAAATGATGAGAAAAATATCCGATATCGCATGGTCAATTAATGAGGTAAGATCTGTAGGTTACAGATGTTCAAGTTAAAAATGACAATACCGTACTGTATCGTACATGTTTGTATATAGGGCCAATGAAAGTGAAGCCGTCGAAGGAGATCAAACAATTGGACAGTGGCGTCCAAAGCCCACAGCACAATAAGTGATTGAAAATACTAATGACAGAACATTATCTCCTGGGCGGCTCACTCATACAAATGGTGCCCGTACGAAAGAACTGACTCAAAAAGTGCGTTAAAAAAAATGTTAGTCGTTGCCATCACACGGTTTGTATTCCCACGTTCGTGACGGCAAAACAATGTAAGTAGTTTTAAAGGTGAAACACTACTTTCATTTAACTAATGATTTATACATATTATATTATATATGTATATATATATATATAGTTATATATATATTAACTTATAGTAGTTCATTTATTTGACGGCGTATAACGTAACCATAAAAGACCATTCATGATCATTGCTTACGCAGTAGTGTGCGCTGACTCTGGTCAATAATATCGACTCTAATCCATTCATAAATTTTCTATATATAATTGTTAGCTTTTTTGACCTATTCAAGTGGGAACACACGTTGTTGTACGCTTGTTCTGCGTCCCATCTGCCCCAACAGGGGCCAAGTCCCCATTTGACATCTTACCTTGAGTCGCCCTGTTTTCGTTAAACATCACCATACGCAAACGCCTATTGAAAGGATCAGCACTGTCCTATTGCGCAACATTCGAACAGCGCTGCTTGTCAAAGTGTTTTGGTGAACTTAAAATAAGTTTTTAACAACTACACCAGGTGTGTAGTGTTGA